AATTCAAACAACATTAAAAAGAGAAGACGATATAGATATATGCAGAAATCAAATGGAACCGTACGAAAAAATGACCATTATTTATTTTCTTTCAGCCTAATATATATAAAAAGGATTTTGGTGAAATAAATTATTGTAATGCTACCTTAAAGTGTCTGTTGTTCATTATATATATATATATATATATATATATATATATATATTATACATAATATATTATATTTTTATAATATGTTATACTTATCGGTTAAAGTGATCAATATCAGGGATAGAGCGTATGTAAATATAAAAGTCAGCATTGAAGTCAACACTAAGAGGCGACATAGTTTCATGCTAAACGCAATAATCAGGCATGATGATTCACTTACAAATTTATCATGTATTATATATATATATATATATATATATATATATATATATATATATATATATATATATATATATATATATATATATATATATATATATATATATATTCATTTATATATTCATTCTCTATATATATATGTTATATATATATATATTATATATATATATATATTCTATATATATATATATATATATATATATATATATATATATATATATATATATATATATATAATTTCACCCTCAAGCAAGGCGATAATGCCACTAGAACACAGGGGTTTGCAGGCAGTAAAAGAGAATTGAAAGACTTTAGTAAAAGACTTTTATAAGTAAAGAAAGGATAATAAAGCAACAGGGTTCAGGAAGAGAGATGTCGATTGACCTTGCATTTAAATTTTTGAAAAGGTTGGCAGGGATGCAAGAAATCGGAGGGGAGTTCCACAGGTGAGAAATGCGAAAAAAATGGCGGCAGCTGCATCCATCACGCTTAAATTCATGTAATCGAGGCAGTAGACAAAAAAAGCCCATCAGAACATTTGCGAGCAAAATAATGTTTTAATGGCGTTATTTTTTCTTTTTATCCGTCATATTTCTTATTGCTGTTAACGTTATTTTAGTGAGAACACGTGTTTGATTTGCTGGTCCTAATTTTACTGTTTAAGAAAATTAGATAAACAGAGAGAGCAACATGTGTAGCCACTTACAGTAATAACATGTATTTAAAATTTAATATTGTTTAGGTTTCGGGTATGAAAATGAAGTGAGAAGATATAGAATTGTAGAAGGATCAACAAGGGTTGTGTGTTCCTTGAAGAGGCAATTGAAAAGCTAAATACGAAGAAAAAAAATCTCTCGTACCCAGACTGGTAGCGTCACATTCCGATTATAAAAGGGGATTTATTGATGGCACAAAATTATAGTTCAATACCTGTCGAAAGGTACAATCTACGCCTTTTTCACTGTTTAAGAAAATTAAGAAACAGGCATAGTAACTCAAACACACACACACACACACACACACACACACACATACACATATATATATATATATATATATATATATATATTACCGAAAAAAATTACCTCAACATAGGGATATACTATTTCAAACCGTTCTTCAACGGCTTTCGTCAGCCTCTAAGTACTTCTCTCGGAGCTTTGTTGTAAATTTATTTTCAAAGCCAGTACTTCTCTAGTAGGTGCCTTGTTAATAAGAGTGGGTTTGTGTTAGCGATTGGTGAGGGCGTAATGTATCTTATCCCGGGGCGGGGGGAAACGGTCTGGGTTTGGAGTTTATTTATGGCTAGGATTTTTGTCTGTAGTTTAATATCAGTTCCTACAATATGGCATTTCTTATAAAGGCCACGGAGTTTTTTTTTTTTTTTTTGTGATTCACAGTAAATAGTTTTTGTACGATGGGGGATTTAAACTTAAGTCCGTTAAGATTAATGTAAATTACTTGAGTTATAGATTTATAGTTAAAATAAAAACATCGAACTCTCTATGGATCAGTTTAATAATTAACATTACTAGGATCCACCCGGATTATATACCAACGGATCGATTATATATATATATATATATATATATATATATATATATATATATAGCAATTCACGGCAAGCAAGGCTATAATGCCACTAAGACGCAAAGGTCTACTGGCAATGAAAGGGAATTAAAAGCCTTTAGAAGGTACAGGAAACAAGGGATCAAATATTCCCGTTCAAAAGACTGGGGAAGCATATGAAGCGGGTTATAGGCGAAACTATTTACTCATATTGATGAAAAATAAATAAATAGTAAATAAAATTTCAGACTTTAAGCTGAGGCGCTAGATGTGTGGAATCGGAATAGATTTTAGAAATAATCAAAAACCCAAACCTAAACAAGAGATAAGCCCTCTATTCATGTTCGAAAGATCGGAGAGGCGATAGTTGAATATATATAATATATATATATATATATATATATATATATATATATATATATATATATATATATCAGTAGAAATTGTACCTACTATCAAAAGTATTCTTTAAAAATTGATTTAACATAAATCGACGTCTGCACAAAATACGGCCCGCGAGTCAATTTCATGTTTTATTCAGAATAAATTCAGCAATTGTTCGCG